GTGAATGCAATGTGTGAAAATTTTTTACTTAACTTGTTCTCTGTTTTCTCGAAGTATGTCCCTTCAAAAAATGTTCAATATCAAAATAATCGTCGTTACCCGCCTTGGTTTACAAAATCAATTATTAATGACATACAAATTAAGAATAATCTATTGAAAAAGAGGAAGTACAATTCTGAATATTATAACTTGCAAATCAAAATGCTATCTAAATCTATTCATACAAGTATTCGTTATAGTCATATACAATTTATGTCTAGGATTGAGAGTGACCTATCTTCCAACCCTAAATCGTTTTGGTCGTATATTAATCAGACGAGAAAATCAGCATGTCTCCCTGACATTATGTATTACAACAATCAAGATATTGAAGATCCGCAAACTATTGTCAACACTTTTGCGAATATTTTATCGTCTATTAATGCCACGCCCATATTGTTAACTTCTACTAAACATACGGGTGGCGTCCAGCCGTTTCTTGAGAGAAATTTTTTTTTATTAACTACAAAACAAGTGCTTATTGCGGCAAAAAAGTTGAAACCATCTAACACATCAGGTCCTGATGGGATTCCAAGCTTCCTGGTTAAGGATTGTGCATCTATTTTCGCTCCTATATTAACAGGTATTTTCAATTTGTCACTTCTACAATGTCGGTTTCCCGGATCCTGGAAAATGGCTAAAATATTACCAGTTTTTAAATCTGGTGATAAAACTAACTGTGGGAATTATAGACCAATAGCTATAATTAATAACTTTGCGAAAGTATTTGAGTTTTGTGTCCTTCCCACTCTTAGTTATGCTATTAAGTCTTTTGTCTCTGAATCTCAACATGGCTGTATGAAGAAAAAGTCAACTGTAACTAATTTAGCTCAGCTTACTTATTTTATTCAAGAATCGTTTAAATTACATTTGCAAGTTGATGTTATTTATTTGGACTTTGCTAAGGCCTTTGACACAATTGATCACATGATCCTGGATGACAAGTTGGATCAGTTGAATTTACCTGTTAACCTGAAACTTACTATTATTGATTATTTAAAGAATCGTTCACATTCTGTGTGTGTTGGTAACTTTAACTCTGCACCTTCAGTGCCATATCGTGGTGTACCTCAAGGTTCTTCCTTTGGGTCCCCACTATTTACTATCTACATTAATGATATTATTTACAAAGTTGACTCTATGATTCTACTTTTTGCTGACGATTTAAAAATTTTTCGTCGTGTAAATTCAATTTTTGATGCAGTTCGTCTTCAAGCTGACCTTGACGCTATTTATCTTTGGTGCACTGATAATAAATTGTCTCTAAGTGTTGCAAAATGTCAAGTTTTAACATTTCATAAATATAACTTTCCTTTTCTTTTTCCATATCACTTAAATTTAGTTCCGGTATCTAGAGTTACCTCCACGCGCGACCTTGGAGTTACTTTTTCTTATAATCTTAGTTTTGATGATCATATAACATCTCTTGTTGCTACTGTATCCAGGATGCTTGGTTATCTCATTAGGTCATCAAGAAATTTTAATAATATACAAACCTTTACTCTACTTTTTAATGCATTAGTAAGATCCCCAGCTGAATATGCTGCAATTATTTGGAACCCACCTACTAAAAAGCTCTCTGAGCCTCTTGATAAAGTTCAAAAGCGGTTTCTTAAGTTTTTGGCTTTCAAGGAGGATGGACGTTACCCCGTACGTGGATGTGACTATATTCTTTTGTGTCAACGTTTTTCTTTTTTAACTTTAGCAGAGCGACGCATAATTAATGCGATGATTTTTTGTTCAAAATTATTAATTACCATTTTGATTGTGAAAAATTATTGGAGGTAATTAATTTTAGGATTCCTCGTTTGTCATCCCGTACTAATTTACCTTTTTATATAAGTAAGGATGATTTAGGGTTGATTAGAACATCTCCGATTTTTTATGCGTGTTACCATATTAATAATATGTGTAATAATTTCTGCCCAAATGTGGATTTGTTTATGGCTTCGCAACTTAAATTTGCTGATTGTGCAAAAAAATATGTAATCGGCCTACGTGAGCAGCCTTGAAATACTTTTATTATAAAATAATTAAGTATACTAAAAGAATAATTTTTTTTTTGTTGCAAATTTATAACTGTTTTTTTGTTTACTTTTATTATTTTGTTACTTAAAATTTGTTACTTAATTGTTTTATGTATTTTTTAGTTACCCATTTATGGTCCAAAATTGGACTGCGGGAATGTACATTAAATAAATAAATAAATAAACATTTAACTTCTCTTTCAGATTTTTAAAGTCTTGAAAAGTTGTAAAAGAATTCGAATGCTTTAATGAAACAATAACCGAAATTGTCACGCAAATAGCAAAAACAACTAATTATTCAAAAAAGTAAACTAATTACGTGCACATATTAAAATATGACTAATTGTACATATGTTGGCCCTTGTCAGCACTGTGAAGCACAGAAACTTTTGGAAATTTGACGAAAATTCTAAATTTTATTTTTTAATTTTGAAAACAGAATACAGAGAAAAACTGAACTCAAAATGAGTCGATAAAGTGACTCATTATGAACTGCAACAAAAATGAACCTCGCAGATGGCGCCACGTTCTGTGTCATTTAACATGGACTAATATTGAGTTGCAACAAAAATGAGTCCAATTTTTTTCTGTGAAGTCACATTTGTGATCAGTGACCCCAAAAAACCCAGAGTGACAATTTTCATGCAAATTGATCAAATTTAAGAAAATTTGTCAGCCATACTGGATCTGCCATATTGAATTTTTGAAATATAACTACAGATTCGTATTCAGCGACCCCGAAAACCTCCGAGTAACAAGTTTCAAGCGAATTCATTACATTTTTAAAAATATGTCCGCCATATTGGATCCGCCATTTTGAATTTTGAAAATCTAATCGCTGATTCATAATCAGCGACCCCATAAACCCCCGATTAACAAGTTTCAAGCGATTTCAAGTAAATTTTAAAAATACGACCGCCATATTGGATCCGCCATATTGAATTTTTGAAATCTAACTTCAGATTCGTAATCAGCGATCCCGAAAACCCCCGAGTAACAAGTTTCAAGCGAATTCATTACATTTTTAAATATATGTCCGCCATATTGGATCCGCCATTTTGAATTTTTAAAAGCTGCCACTCGGCATTTAAAATTATTCCTTTTTATCTAACTTTTAAGCTTATAGCTGGTAATTCAAACGCAAACCATTTTTGGAGAGAAGGTGGGCCCCCTTCACAAAGAATGCCTCATATATGTTCAACTAAAGTATTTTCTTGTTTTTTCCAAACCCCGTCCCTATTTTAATTAATATTAAAATAAAAACGGGAAACACTAGGGATATAATCATCGTGAATGAGTAAAAATAAATATCTAATTATTTTTGGTATATCAACCGTCGAGAATTAAAAATTAAAGAGCACTTTTTACTTAATTTGAATTAATCAACCGCCATAAATTGATAAACACGGGAGTAGTTTTTTTTAAATAATCACCCAACTAATTTTTTGTCATAAATTGGTAAATACAAGAAAGAATTTTACGTAAATTAACAAGAATAATAATAATAACAATTTATAAAATTGTTGCATTTTTAAACAAATAATAAAATTAAATAAACATAAATTAATTAATAAACCTATAATAATACCAAATTTTTGCAATTTTTACAAATCTTACATTTTTATTCGAAATAATTAAATAATTCATATAATAATAATAATAAAATTTTCACATTTTTTACTTAAAATTGGAATTAAATAATTTACATTGTAATTAAAAATTAAACAAGAATAAAATAAATAACAATAAATTAATAAACAATAATAATAATAAAAATTATAGGGGAGAGTGGGGCAAACCGGCCCGGTGGTAAACCGGCTAGGTGGCAATATCTCCGAAATGGCGAAATTGTTAAAAGTGTTATTTAGAAATTTGAAACAACCATGTGTAGTATACCTTATTTTTTCAATTTGACAATTTTTACTTTTGTTTGTGCAACGCTGGAAGCAAAAGTTTTTTTTACACTTTTACGAATTTTTTCTTAAGGAAATTCTCAGGAAATCGTGTAATGTTTACAAATATTAGGTCTTGGGTTTTAATGGTACACACCTCAGGAATATTTACCACCAAAAACTTTGATGAATTTGCAAAGCGTTTCTTTTAAACAAATATTTATTCTCAAAATAAGCCTGTGGGGCAAACCGGCCATAGGATAGTTTCATTGTATCAGAGTTTCAAAAAAATTATTATTAATTAGAATGTTTTTTTTATTAAAATATTTACTTTCAATGAAAAATAATTATCTTCCAATGAGAATTAGACCCATTAATATTGTTTCTCTGATAATTTCAAACATTTTTTTTGTTATTATTTAAAAAAATTATTTATTTAATTAAAATTCAATCCTGTATTACTATTTACATTATTACAACCATTGTTCACATGAGTCTTTATGTTTATTGTTATTGTAGATTATACAAATGCAATATAGTAGATAGAATCCCAACTGGCCGGTTTACCCCAGGGTGTGGGGCAAACCGGCCAGTTTGCAAATTTTTTTAAAAGTTATCACAGCAACTAAACAATAAAAGATAAAGAATAGGTGTCTTTGGGAAAAAGTTGCGCAATTAAATGATCTTTCAAACAAGCCATCGAAAAATGAAATCGGATGATTCGTTTAGTCACAAGAGTAAAAAAACTGTAGGTATGGCCGGTTTGCCCCACTCTCCCTTAATATTTTTCAAATTTTCACATTTTTTAACTTAAAAATTGAACAGAATTGAATAATTTACATACTTATTAAAAATTAAAAGAATAAAATAAATAAATAATAAATTAATAAACATTGATAATAATAAAGATTTATAACATTTGTGGCATCCCTATTCACGAGATTTAAGTTAGACTTTTATAAGTTATTATTATTGAACGGGTTCGACTCGCGAATGAGAAGCACGATTCACACTGGCACAAGTTTTGTTGAAAATCCTCTGGGTGGAGTTACAACGGCAGAGAGCAGAGAAAGAATGTTTGCAAGTACTGCAAGACAATGGCCATGTGGGAAAGATGGACTTACCGGTAACGCTGGCTCTCTGCGATGGCTCGAAAATATTCCGTAGTGGAAGACAAAGGGCACTTAGTAAACAAGACACTAATTGCGATTATTTTTTAACAAACAAGATAACTATTTATTGAACATAAACTGATAGAGAATTTAGATACAATTAAGTTACACAATGGTTACGCTTTTCGTGCGTTCCTATATGCTGTTCGCAACAGTCTTTCGTCGTAGCTCGCGACAATCTGCCGGTCGGCGTCGTTTTTGCTTAGCACGCGGTTTTGTCGTCTGCTCTATGAATATCGAAAAGTATCGTATCGATTCATACGCCGCAAGGTCGATAATCGATAGTTAGCAATCGAACATCGGCATTTGAATCACGGAATATTAAGTCACTGCGATTAAATAATTAATTCGGTTCGTTACATTCCCCCTCACTTAGGCGGAGTTACTGCAGTATTCGATACTTAGCGCTGAAAGAACATGATTAGTAGAACATACAAAAATGTTTTCGCAATGTTAGTCCATCTTAATTGGCCATTGCGAATAAGAAAAATTGGAATTGAAAAATTAAAATTTTACTTAAAGAAAAGCGAAAATTTGTTTAAAAATGAAAATTAGAAATTATTAAGTTTCAATTGGATAAGTGAACAATAACTTATTTCTGAAAATAAAAGAAAGATTAGTACTTGTTAACATTCGTTCTCTTTTGAGGGAATAAATTGTTAATTTATCGAAGTATAATGTTTTTATTTTTATCTTTCAAAGTCATAAAGACAAATATAGCTAAAGAGTACAAAAATATTTCTGGAATGTGTATTCCATGTAGCGCAAAAGAAGTTCAGAAGAATAGCAAAATATATAAAGATACTATGTGAAAAATAAAAAAACCTTTTTTAACGAAAAATATAAGTATAGTAATTGATATTTCAAACGTAAACACTTATTTTAGTCATAGCACTTAGTGTCTTTGGAACAAAAAAACTAGAGTCTTTAAGCACCGTTAAAGTTCGTTTTCGCGAATTTTTCGCAATTTACTCTTCTTCTTCTTCTTTTTCTTCGTTAATGCCTAACTCATATGCTTGAGATAATGTTTTCCATAACTCGGCATTATTGTCGTCGGAGTCGAGAGGTGAAAGAACTTTGTTGGGATCTCGGACTTCCTTCATGGCTGCAATCTGTGTAGGTGGAAACGTAGCAGAGAGTTTTCGCGTTGTGGGAGGTTTTGGCTTGGGAACATCGTTATTAATTTCGATGGTCGGTTCGTGTAATGGTCTCTCGGTTTGCATTGCTGCTTGTAAAACAAGATCCGCGCGAGGTGATAACTTGGTCGGAATTTCCATTGATTTTGTCGAAGAAATCAGCTTCGCGATTGTGTTGGTAGTTCTTGCAGGTGGCGGTTTGAAGGTCACTTGCATGTTGCTCGCTTGGTTGGTGGCTTCGAGCATCTCTAGGTCTCTCTTCGCAGTCCTGCGCTCTACTTCTCTTCTTCGGCATTCAACGCAACAGACGTCAGGCAAGTTTTTGGGACGTTTACAACCTTTACACCTCTGGTGTTCTGGAACATCAAATTTCTCGTCTGCTACATGCGGCCAGGGACATTCTTCGGTGCTGAAATCTGGGCTGTGACAGATTTGGCAAAAGCGTTGGTTGTATGGTTTTCGGCATACCTTGAAACTATGGCCTTGTTCGCTGCAATTTAGGCATCCTTTTGGTGCTCTTGGTCGGATTCTTATTTCGCGTAACTCCGACTGCATTTTAAAGACTTCGGTGATCTTATGTTTGAAGAGATCGCGAGTTCGATAATATAATTTCTCCATGTAATTATAGTCGTCCAGTAGTGAGTAATAGTCGGCTGCGTGAGAATCGACTTTCTTCTTCAGTTTTGCGACTTCGGATTTGGAATTGTCGGCTTCCTCTTTGCATTTCGCCAGTTGTTCCGCGAGATTCTGCTTTTCTTGGAGTAGTTCTGACAGCATCTTGTAATGTGCTGCCATGTCCGCGATGCCATTGATGGGGGGTGTTGCTTCAGTTGCATCGAGTCTCTCGCGAAGTATATTGAGTGTTTGATTTGCTTCAATCAACTGGTTGAAAAACTCTTGGCGCGAGTTTACGATGTAATCGAAATTTGCCTTGTTTATCGCGATTAGATCAGAAGGCTGCTGGTCAAACTCTAGCTGGCCTCCACCTTCAGAGATCGCAGAAATCTGGGTTACCGGAATCTCAGACAGACTGGTTGAGCTGCTGGCGTCGTCGTTGGGTGAATCCATGATGAATCTGAAAAGAAAATTTACAAGTTGTTTTGCGATCGAAGACCCCTTTTTGCGAGTTTTAAATCACTCACATGATATTTGCCAATTTTCTTGCCATGTGTGTCGCTGATAATTACCACCACGGGGGATAATCTTTCCGTTATAATGGCTGGGCCTTTGTATCGAGGTGCTAATTTTGAACTATATCCTTCAATTGCTTTGGACAATTTATTATTTGGATAGAACACCAAATTGCCAAGTTCGAATTCTATATCATTTTTGCGATTCTTATTATAATTTTTTCTTTGTTTTTCACAAGCTTTAGTCATTAACTTTTGAACTTTTGCACGAAGGTCATCTATGCGTTTTATCCTTTCTAACCAGTCATTAGTTGTATCGTCAGTTGTCGGTTTCGCGTTAGTTTCGAGCTTTTGTTCTCCCGTGCGTCTTGGTTCGCGAGCGAAGTTTAAGAATGCGGGAGTTACACCTAAAGAGGAATGGACGGTAGTGTTGTAAGCGAATTGTATTTCTTCTAACAACAAATCCCATTCGCGTTGATTTTCGCCAAGAAGACTGGCGATCATCGTTTTTAGATTTCGATTTACGCGTTCGACGGGGTTAGATTGTGGGTGATAAACCGGGGTCGTGCGTTGGTCAGAACCAATTTCGTTTAAGAATTTCGCAATATTTCGATTGACGAATTCGGTTCCATTGTCTGTGACAAATGTTCTGGGTGTTCCCCATTTGTTAATTAAAGTGTTTAATGACTTAACGATTTTTGGACCGTCGGCTTTTGTCAAGGCGAAGCATTCGATATATCGCGTATAAATGTCTTCGCAAACTAGAATGAAGGATTTTCCTGATTTGGATCGCGGAAGTGGTCCTACAATGTCCAATGAAACAATATCCCATGGTTCATTGAATTTACGCGGATACATAAGTCCTTGAGGGGGATTGTTTTTGGGTTTGCATTTTAAACAAATTTCGCATTTTTCGATATATCTTTTAATATCTTCGCGCATACCGGGCCAATAATGATGATTAATAATTGACAAATAAGTTTTATTAATCCCTTGATGTGCGGATTGTGGGGTGTCATGATATTTGGAAATAATCGGGAGTATTTCATTTTCTTTTAACACTTTCTTCCATGCGTTGTTATCGCCTATGGTTTCTTTGAGTTGGTTTGGTTTGTAGTAGTACAGTTCACTGTTTGAGTCGAGTCTGTATCGTTCGTAACGCGTGGGGGTATTACGCACACGTTCAACCATCTCGTCGTACCAAGATACGCTGTGGGTGTGACTTAGCTGTGAGGAGGGCGTGTCTTCCGAGACGTTCTCGTAAAGGCGCGATAGAGTGTCAGCTGCTTCGTTGGTTGTACCTTTGCGGTGTTCAATTTTCGCATTATTTGCCGATAATTCTAATGCCCATCTCGCAAGTCTACCTCGCGAATCTTTTAAGTTTTGCAACCAGACTAAGCTTGAATGATCGGTAATTACCGTAAATTCTGTCGCTTCGAGATAACATCGCAATTTCTTAATCGCAAAGATCACGGCCAAGCATTCCTTCTCGGTGGTAGTATAATTTAACTCTGCACCTCTCAAAGGTCTGCTCAGGCATGTGATGAGATATTCAATATCTCCGTCTTTTTGAGTGAGAATTGCACCTATGCCGGTGTCGCTTGCATCTGTGTATAAGAAGAATGGTAAATTTGGTCGCGGCGGATTTAACGTTAAAGCATGTTTTAATAGATTTTTTACTTCCTGATAAGATTTTTCGTGTTCTTCCGTCCATTTCCACGGTACTTTGGGACTTGCTAATTTATTTAACGGTCCTTGTACTCGCGCGATATTACGTAAATGACGGTGATACCAATTTACGGAGCCGTTAAATTGACGTAATTCTTTGCGGTTACGGGGAGTAGGACGTTCGAGAATTGGATCTACGCGTTTCGGATTGGGTTTAAGACCTTCTTTGTCGAGAACAAAGCCGAGATATTCGACAGAGGATTTTGCGAAAAATGATTTTTCTCGGTTTATTGTTAAACCTGCTTTGTGAAGAATATCAAAGACAATATTTAACAATAAAAGGTGTTCATCGAACGTTTTAAAAATAATAATCCAGTCATCGAGATACGCGTGTACTTGATCTATATATTGTTCAGGTAAATTGTTCGTGCGAATGTGTTCGACAAATTTTTCTTTCAGCCTATCAGTTAATTCTTGAAAAGTGGCTGGTGAGTTAGTGAGGCCAAAGGGCATTCTAACCCATTCGTATTGTCCACGTCCGGGTACTACAAAACCGGTATATTCGCGTGAATCTGGGTGAATTGGAATATGGTGAAATGCATCAGTAAGATCTATTGTACTGATTATATTTGCTTCGAATAACGCGTCAAGGATAGTATCCATGCGCGGTAAAGGATATGCAGATTTTTTAGTATTTTTATTTAATTTTCGGAAATCCATGCAAACTCTTGGTCTGCCATCTTTACGATAAGTTAAAACAATAGGACTCGCGAATCGACCGAAGCTTCTAATTATAAATTTCTTTTCGATGTATTTATCAATTTGATCATTTATTATTTTATTTGCTTCTAAGCTGTAACGGTGAGGTTTGAGTTTAAACGGGGTTTGATCCGTCAGTTCAATTACGTGAGTTGCTAAGTTCGTGATGCCGGTATATTCTGCGAAATTTGATAATTTTTTATCTACAAATTCATCTAAAATTTTTCTTTGTTCGGGTGTTAATTCTAATAATTGCACCGAATTTAGAAAATTACGCGAGTTATTTGCTGGGATAAAAGGATTCTGTGTTTTTGAATCTTCGATGGACCAATAACCTTTACTGGCGTCTATGACGACTTGCCATGCGGTTATGAAGTCCATGCCTAATATTATGGGCGTGGTCAGTCCATCAAGGACTGCGAACCATAATTCGCCAGTACAATCGTTAATTGTAACATCAAATTTTGCGGAATAACGGGGCGCGGCTACGTGGTCGCGTTGAGCTAATTGTACGCCTGCACGAGTTATTGCATCTTGAATTGGGTCACCGTTCGCGAATTCTTTAATTTGGTCGTATAATTCTCCAGACATAAAGGTACGATCGCTACCTGTGTCGAGAAGACCGATAATTTGTTTATCGCCGATATTTATTGTTGTGGTTATCGTGTTCCGTTTTTGTGGCGGTAAGGGCAATGCAGGCCCTTTGTGTACTAAGCGCTTGAATTTACTGGCTGCTGCTAGTAAGCCAACAGCTGGTTGTGACAAGGGCTTCGACGTAAGCGAGTGTATGCTCACCTCTGCCGTCTTAGTGTGTGCGGTAGTGGGGATGAGCTCATCGCTTGAGTCTGAGTACTCCGTCTCGGATTCCGAGTAGCAATTGTCATCGTATTCGCTTTCGGAGTCACTAGTGAAATTCCTACTGGCATGCGCTTGATTAAGCGTTGATGCATTTTGAGGAATACACGTTGAGTCCTTTGCGGTGTGACTGCAACTTGGTGTTACATGGTTGTCAAAAATATCGCGGTTATCTATTTTTACAATTTTATCGTTGGGATTTTCCGAATTTTTATTTGAATTAATTATTTGTTCGCCAGGGAGATTTAATCTCTCCTTGCATCTATCTCGTTTTTTGGCGAAAAAGGGTTAGGTGCATTGAAACCGTGGGTGTTTGGAAAATCGCGATTGCCGAACCAAGGTGGTACTTGAGGTGGCAAGGGTATTTGCGGGGGTGTGAATGGTTGTTGCGCGTTGCCGGGTTGGCAGAATTGCGAAAGGTATTGGTAATAATCATAATTATTATTACCACGACCACGACCATTCCATCCGTTTTTATTTCCGCGTCCGCGTTGGTTGCGATTTTCGTGTCTGCGTCCGTCACTGCGGTCTTTGTCTCGTTTCGTGTCTCTACTGTGGTCACGAGTTCTACGCGCTGGCGATCTACGTTTTCCCCCCTCTCGTCGCGAAGACACGGAACGTGAGGAGCGAGAAGATCTAGAAGTGGATCGGCGGCGTGATTTACGGGCCGGTGGTGGGGAGGCAGGTGGCTTCTTACCGCTCTGATTATTTTCAGATTTTTGTTTTTCGCTTGTTGGTAATTTTGCTTCTAATCTTTTAATTTGTTGTTTGTAAATTTCTACTTTATTTAAACTAACTTCTGGTTCGCTTTTATTTGGTTTTTTGTTATTTTTTGATTTTTTTGACGCATTTTCCGCTTTTGGTTCTTTTTCCGATTTATTTTGTTGAGCGGGATCAATTGTGGGCGGGGAAGTTTCAATTGCGTTTAATTGATTTTTACCGCGGGAGTTACGAGTTTTTTTCGAGTCTTGTTCGCGAATTTTTGAAGTAAATTGCATTGTTGCTATTTTTTCTTCGTATTTGCGAATTTTGCGAATTAAACCGTCGTAATTTGTGAAACTGTCGCGATCAAATTGCAAAATTAAGTCAGAATGAAGGGCCGAGTAAATTTTGTCAAGTTGATTTTCTTCCGCAACTTTTTGTTGTAATTTATTATATAGGGAACCTATTCTTATGACGAATTCGATTCCTGACTCGTCTTCGAGTTGGACGGCGCGTTGAATTTTATTTGTAATGCGTTGATCGTCGTTTGACTCACCAAATATCGATCGGAATTTGGTTGAAAATTCATTCCACGTGTTCCAAGAATTGCGGAATGTGGCGAACCAAGTGTACGCGGATTCGGCAAGTACTTGGGACATCGTCGCGAGCGCGTCATCGGGATTGATATTTGAAACGTGTAATTTGCGTTCAAATTCGTCGATGAATTCGTCTGCGTCGAGCGGTCCTGGGAATTTTAGGTCCCAAGATTTTATGGTTTTATGCAAATTGTGATTTTGCCTATAAAAATTTGGTGGGGGTCTCGTGATAGGTTCCTGTGTGTTAATGTGAGATGTTTCGTAAGGATCGCTGTCAGAAGGTGGGGGGGAGACGAGAATTTCTGGCGGTTCGGTGAATTGCAGTGTACGGTTGCGAAGAGTAGCGCGCACGGAAGGTGTTGTAGACAGTGGTGGGGGGAGAGCTGTTGCTATACCCGAACTGAATGTCGCATGTGTCCCTGTATTCGTAGTTGTCACTGTAGTAGTGGTACTCGTAGATGGTAGGGATGTAGGTTGTGATACCTGCTGTGTGCTAGCGTGATAACCGTTGTCGATTGATTCCCATCGAGAATCATGCCAAGGGGATGGTGTTTGTTTGACTTGCAATCCCGAAATTTTTTGCGAGAGAGATTCTATCATTTTATTTACTTCTTTCCTATTTTCTTTAATTAAATTGTTTATTTCTAAATGATTTGATTGGATTAATTGAAATGTTTCATTTTTAAGGGTTGTTAATTCTTTTCTGTTGTGTTTTAGATCTTCTAACCTAGCTTCTTGAACTACACGGCGAGTTTCATTGTAAAATTGATTTAATTGTTCGCGAGATTCGTCTAAATTACGGTCGAGCATATGTTGCATGTGACGTTTAAAATCATTGTTTTGTGTTACTTGGGTCGCGTGAATGTTATCAAAACGTGTGAGGATTTGTTTGATTGCTGCGTTAGAGGTAGGCGTTTTATTTTTCGGTTTCCGACCACGGCGCGTTGGAATTGAAATTTTTGGGGTGGTTCCTGTACCAGGTGCTGCAGAGGATGATTTATCCAGATCGCTAGTGCGATTTTCTGGATGATTTTGCGTTTCATTCATTGCTGCGGGGTTTGTGTGTGGAACCGGTGGAACGTTGTTTGTCGCTATCTCTAATGACGCGGTATCATTTTCTACTGTGAGCACGTTTTGGTCACTTTGCGTTGAAGGATTCGGGTGGGGAGAATTCGTTTCCGAATTATTGCTTTGATTCGACAGGGGGGGTGTCCTGTACATGTTGTTGTTTTTTGCACGCAATCTAGTTGTGATTCCTCCTTGTTTTGGCGTTTTATTTCTTTTCGTCATGTGAGAAAAGAAAATTTGTGTTTATTTGATAATTGTAAGAAAAGAGAAAAAAAAATTGTTTGAAGAGAGAAAAAAAAAATTTTAATTAATTTTTTTTTTTATTGTATTTTGGAGAAATTATTTATTTAAGTTTGAATAATTTTTCTAATTTTTAAGTGGTTTTAATTTTATACGAGTTTTTATTTTCTTATTCCTAATATTTTAATTTGGAGAAGTTTTAATTTTGTAGGGAATGACCAAACATGTGAGGAACAATGGCAAGCTGTGGATGTAAACACAGCTGTGTTTTGATCGCGTTATCGAAAAGCGAATCGAGTGTTCACTGAAAACGATTTTGTTAAAAGATTTTTAATTGTTAAGAGAAAAGAAAATTATTCTTTGTTTTAACAATCGAAAATTTATTAATACGTCCAAAAAAAAATTATTTTTGTTTCAATTTTATTTTTTTTAGTTGCGTGATTTTATTTTCATGATTTTAAATTTCTTATTTCAGAATAATTTTCCTTTATAAGGGAATGACTAAGCCCGTAGAAAACAATTGAGCTGTAGTAGTAAACACAGTTGTGTTTTGATCGCGTTATCGAACTTTGAATCAAGTGTTCTATAGAAGCGATTTTGGGCGAAAAGTATTTTATTCTGAGTGAAATAAGATTTCCATGGTAATATTATCATAGGCAATGAACAAAATTTTAATTTTTAATTTTGTTTCTGGCAATCAATTGTAAAATCTCATGTGAGCTAGAGTAGTTTTACACACAAAAAAAATAATTGAAAATCGGGGTTGTATAAAAGACAAATAGTTAGCGAATTTTTACAAGAAATAAAAGCGTAGTTGTAAAAAAAATTAAGCTGGAAAAATGTTGCGTATATAAAAATTAAGCGAAGTTGTACAAGCAAAAGAAATATATTAAAGTAGATGCGTTTTATTACAAGCTTAATTAAGCGTAATTTATTTTGGTAAATTAAAGCAGCATGATGTTTAGAAGCGATATTTAATTTTTAAAATTTGAGATTGTGCGAGCTATAAACAAATTTTGAGAATTTTCGTCCAACATGTGCCTGTGCTGTTTGCGACGCGATTTCGAAAATGTAAGTTTCTTTAGCAGTTTTCGAAGTACGTGAACGAAGCAAAAGAAAATTTAATTTTACTTGTAATTTAATTAAGAATTTAATTTTCAAGTAAAAGCACGTTGGGCGCCATTTGTGGCATCCCTATTCACGAGATTTAAGTTAGACTTTTATAAGTTATTATTATTGAACGGGTTCGACTCGCGAATGAGAAGCACGATTCACACTGGCACAAGTTTTGTTGAAAATCCTCTGGGTGGAGTTACAACGGCAGAGAGCAGAGAAAGAATGTTTGCAAGTACTGCAAGACAATGGCCATGTGGGAAAGATGGACTTACCGGTAACGCTGGCTCTCTGCGATGGCTCGAAAATATTCCGTAGTGGAAGACAAAGGGCACTTAGTAAACAAGACACTAATTGCGATTATTTTTTAACAAACAAGATAACTATTTATTGAACATAAACTGATAGAGAATTTAGATACAATTAAGTTACACAATGGTTACGCTTTTCGTGCGTTCCTATATGCTGTTCGCAACAGTCTTTCGTCGTAGCTCGCGACAATCTGCCGGTCGGCGTCGTTTTTGCTTAGCACGCGGTTTTGTCGTCTGCTCTATGAATATCGAAAAGTATCGTATCGATTCATACGCCGCAAGGTCGATAATCGATAGTTAGCAATCGAACATCGGCATTTGAATCACGGAATATTAAGTCACTGCGATTAAATAATTAATTCGGTTCGTTACACATTTTTCAAATTCTCACATTTTTGACAGAAAAATTAAACAGAATTAAATAATTTACATACTAATTAAAAAATTAAACAAGAATAATATAAATAAATAATAATAAATTAATAAACATTAATAATAATAAAAATTTATAACATATTTTTACCGAACTGCCAAATGTCATTGATGTCTGACGTGCTGGGAGAAGCGGATCCACTGCCAAATGTCATTGATTTCTTTGATGTGCTGGGAGAAGTGGATCCACTGCCAAACATCATCGATTTCTTTGATGGGCTGGGAGAAGTGGGTCCACTGCCAGACATGATTGATTTCTTTGATGAGTTGGGAGAAGTGGGTTCGCTGCCAGACACAACTGGCATCTTGTATATGTTCGGTAAACCTTGTTGTGGTGGCGAAGCTTTTCACTAAAGGACAGGCAACAGGGTGGTTCCCTGACTTTAAAACCAAAAACATTAATTATGAGCGTTTGTAAAAAAAAGAAGAGTACCTGCGGGGTAATTCTACGGCTAAATCCCTCACTGGTTCCGATCGTCAAGCGCTTTCGAGCGTGGGGACGGTGGCCAGTGGCCCAAGGATGCAGGAGGGCAACAACGTGTCGGTGGTACCAAGAATTATCTTGGAAAGAGTAGATAGACGAGGAAGTACGAGCAGCGTGACGAGTCAAGCCAGCTGCATTTCTGTCTTCAGTAATGCTTCTGCGATTGACATTGCTAGATGCAATGAAGATCGAGAGGAATGCATTAAGCTGCGGGAGGATGAGGCAGCGAGCATTTAAAAAATGGAGGATGAAGTCAGCAAGATGCTGAAATCCTGTGAGATCAAGAGGAATGTCAATATGACAATTAAGGATGGACTGAGAAGCATAACATCGCTCATACGGGATGTCAAGGAGAAGCACGCAGCAGCGGCCAGAAAAGATGAGAAGTTCTACCAGAGATTAACCTGTACGGAAGAAGCACGCAAAGACCGAAGGATGAGACGTGACCGTTTTAATGCAGTAGTGCTTAAAAACGTTGTCTTGGAGGCTCAGAAGAATAACAAATATATAAATAATAATTTGTGATATTTTATAAATTTTTACATTTTTGGTCTAAAATTATGTAATTCTGATTATAATTTAAAATTAAATGAAAATAAAATTAATAAATAATAACATTTATTAACATTTTTATAAATTTTCACCTTTTTTGATAAAAATTTTTTTAACAGAATTAATTAATTCATATAATTAAATAATAATTTAAAGTAATAAATTAAGTTAAACATAAATGAAACAATAAATAAATTATTAATAACAATAACAATTCAAAATTTTTATAAATTTTTACATTTTAATAAATTTAATTTAAATAAAAATAATAAATAAATAAAATAAAAATTAAATAAATTTATAATAAATAAAAATAATAAATAAAATTAATATTAATAAAAATAATAATAAAATAAATAATAAATTACATCTTTTATTAACAAAAATATAATAAAATTTTAGCAAAAAATATATATAATTATAAAATTGTTATTTTATTACTCACACTTAATTTCATAATATTTACTGCATTATAATAAGTACTTTGAAAATATCTGCTTGAGTTCCAATTTACATATTTAAACATTCTTTATATCTGTCCATATTCCAATTGTCAAACGAAAGTGATATAGATATTTTCATCGAAAAAAAAATAATTCATTAAGAATAATAAACACACGTGCTACGTGAAGCAAATAGAAATCAATTGCCTACACCTTATATACATTACTATTAGTTATTTCCCAGAAAATATTCAAATTTTATAAAAACAAATATTTTCAATATATAAGTTTTTTCCAAAACGAGATTATCAAATTAATATTATGACATTTTTTAATGTCTTCTTCGAATAAAAATACTACCGATTATTCACATTTAACTCGTTGTCAAGTAAAAAATAATCCAGATTTAAAATTAAATTCGGGAATTCCTAATTAAAAAAAACCGCATACAAGTACGCCCAGATATTCTAAAGAAACCCCTAATCACGAAGAAATACAAAAACAATTTGACCCTGGCTTTATTCAATCACAACGTTTTAGCAGTGACGATAATTCTTCTGACAGTCACAAAAACGATAGTGAAAATACCATTACAGAAAAAACCTTAACTGAACAATATTCAAATAAAAGCTTAAATAATACTTTGACTGACGAAATTAAAACAAACGACAATTGTGACAATAATTCTCTTAACAGTTCTGAAATTAATAACAATTTTGAAGAAAACATGGCCCTACCAAATAATCAACAAGTCTCAGTACGCGATGCTTTAGAAACAATACCTATGTTTGATGGAAAAAATTTACCATTGAGTAAAAATTCCTGAAGTGGCCCCCCTATTTTCGCAAAATTGGAAAATTTTAAATAAGTATTTGTATTTGAATGTACTAGTATCTAGTAATTTTTTCACGGAGTATTTCAAAAATATTTAAATTATTTATATTTTTTATTGTTAATTAAAGATTTTTAAACCCTTTTAATAAAACAATTGTAGGGTAATGTCACATTGAGTGGACCGCCACTTTGAGTGGACCACCTGAGTTTTTAAGTTATCTGACAGCGAAAACGTGAAATAAATAGAACGAATAGCAGCACCGCATCTAGAAACAGTAAGAATTTATGTTCCGCGATAATCATACACGTTATTGTTTGATGTAACGCATTTTTAAGAACACAAACCAAAAAAGAAGTCGCTCTTACAATGAGTAAAGTGATTCGGAAGTGTAAAAGTAGTGCAAAATTTAAGTTTTAAAAGGTAACTTATTTTTTTCCTACTACTTTGGACATTGGAATTGATTGTCTTAGTTTAATTAAGTGATAATTTTGACTCAAAAAAAAATTTTGGTGTCTGCCATAAAAAGTTGCATGTCACCATGAGTGGACCACTGTTTATAACCATGATTAGACTGCCTGTTTTTTATATTTTTAATGTCAGTTTACCATTTTTATGGAAATAAATTGACAATAAATTGGTTTGAAACTGTTTTATGTTCTTTATTAATTTTTTTGTGATTTTAATGTGATATGTGCCAAAATTATTGAAAATGGTTTCACTTGTAAACATTGCGACACAAACATGGTCTGAAGCTGCATAAGCATGAATTTTGTTTCAATATATCAGAAATATTAAATACATTAAAGAATTTAGAATAACTTTTAAAATTTTTTAGGAGTGGTCCACTCAAGGTTACACTTTTTTCATTCCTTAAAAATTTGCAATTTTTTTATATTCAATTGTTTTTTCTAAATAAAAGAAAATCAAAGCTATTATGGTATAAACACTTATCTAGGGATCTAAACTAAAGCTTGGAATAGAAACCTCCGATTAATTTGCTGTCAAAAAATTTTTTAGAAAAAAAGCTTAGGCGGTCCACTCAAGGTGACATTACCCTAACTAATTGAGTTTTTGCATAAATTGAACAAAAATGTATGGTTATATCAGTGAGTAAATGTACTTTCAAATAATAAAATAAAAATTTGAATAAATTATTTTTTTTTATTTGTTTATAATTTTTTTATAAACAAATGCAGTTTTAAGTGCTTTCTACACACGATTAAAAAATTTTTTTTTTGCTAAATGTTCTTTAGAATGTAGGTAAGCAAGAACTGAAAAGAAATCTAAGTGCAAATGAAAAGCTTTTTCATAATTTGACTATTTGTCGAGCGCTGCATACTGCGCGCATGCACCGCACAGTGGAATTTTTTTACAATTTACTGTTTAAAAATGTCTACAGCCTACAATTTTTAACCGATTTGAGTGTTATTTTTTTAAATTAAAGGAGAATAAATTTTTAAGACATCCATAGAGGCCGATGTTTGAGTTATTAATTGTTTATAATTTTTTGTTTTAAACAAATTAATACAATTTTTTGAAAAAGGACGTTTATTTTCTTATTCCGTTATTGCACATGATTTAAATCAGTTCAAATTAATCTAGTATGACCACCAGACAATTAATAAGACATAAAATAATTTATTTAAATTGTTATACCTAAACAATATTAATTAACAAATAGATAACTTTGATTCTTCTTCACTAAAAAATGTTTTTTTCACATTTTCTTTCTAATTTAACTTCATTTAAAGAATATATGTCCCTTTTGTTCAAAAAGTAACTTATTTAAATTACTATAAACAATATTAATTAACAAATAGTTAACGTTAATTCCTCTCCACAAAAAATGTTTTTTTTTATGAATAATTTTTTATTTAGGTTTATTTAAAGAAAATATGTCCTTTCCTTGTTTAAAAAATAACTTATTTAAATTGTTATAAACATTATTAATTAACAAATAGTTAACTTTTGATCCTCTTCACAAAAAAAAATTTTTTTTCACGCGTACTTTATTATTTAGGTTCATCTAAAAATATAAGAATGTAAATATAACTCCTATTTTTAAATAAGCTGTGAAATTAAACTAAATACTTATACTTACATTCCTATATAAATCAAATGAACCTAAATAAAAAAGTAAACAAGGAAAAAAATTTTTTGGTGGAGAGGAACAAAAGTTAACTATTTGTTAATTAATAATGTTTGTAACAATTTGAATAAGTTTTTTTAAACAAGAAGGACATATATTCTTGAAATGAACTTAAATAAAAAAGTAAGCGTAAAAAAAATTTGTAGTTAAGAGGAATCAAAGTTAACCATTTGTTAATTAATATTGTTTATAACAATTAAAATATGTTACTTTTTAAACAAAAAGGACATACATTCTTGAAATGAACTTTAATTAAAAAGAAAATGTGGAAAAAAACATTTAGTGGAGAGGAACTAAACTTAACTATTTGTTAATTAATATTGTTTATACTAGAACCAAAAGGGCGCGCGACGCGCGCCCACTTCTAGTCCTTTAACACACAAAATAAAACCTTAATGTGACCTTTAATTAAATCTTAATTTAATAAAAACATATGTTTATATTTTAAAAATT